CGTAAAAGTTTAAAAAAATCCACTGGACATGGTTTCCAAGATTTGAAGACGTTTCGCCACCTCTCCAGGAAGCTTTCTCAATTCAAATTCAAATTCAAACATTTAAATTAAGAAAGCTTCCTGGAGAGGTAGCGAAACATCTTCAAATCTTGAAAACCAAATCCAGTGGATTTTTTAAAAACTTTTACGGAATGTCTTTGACCTGGATGACTGAGAATCTTCATCAGTATAAAAACAGAACATTTTCCCATTTTAAAATCTAAATAGTTTTTGAAGTAGTAGTTTGGTATATAGAAAATTTCCTGATTCACATATTTTATAAAACACATGAACCGATTGTCTTTTCTTTCTTTTTTTTGGCTTAATGAGAGCAGTGGGCTTTATGCTGCCCTGGAAGGCTTTAAAACTGGGTTTTTAAAGCCATTCTAAAGCACATATCAAGGTGCTCATTTTGAGATTGGATTGATATTTATTTATTTTTTATTATGTTCATGGGGGAAAATGCTGCTTCACAGCAGCAGGTTGAGCCAAACATACTCAAAATGTGCAGGATCATCTTTGAGCACGCCATTTCACTTTTCTTTCACCAGCTCCCTGCACCTCTTCCAGCAGTCCACACTTTTTCTGCTCTTTTTCTCATCATCTTCTCCTTCTTTCCCATCGCCCGGCTTGCCACAGGTTTACCTGCTGTGTCTAAAAGTGGCTCGCTGCAGCAACCTAGACTGACAGCAGCTCATTGGCTAATTTGTATCACGTGCGGCCTGGTCCTGGAAGACTTAGCATATTAACAGGAAAAGCGGCGCAAGTGAAGTTAGACACTGTCGTCGGACAAAATGCGGTAATTTATAAATGTTTTAAATGTTGGGTCCGGATTCGCCAGCAGGTGGGTCCGGATCCGGATCACGGTCCACTAATCCGTGACCTCTGGTCTACAAGAGGTTAATAATAAAAGTCCATCTTGGTTCATAGTCCACCATTTAGGTGCATCTGCAGTAAAGATTGTTAATGAACCAAGAGATTCTTAAAGACCAACAAAAAGCACCAAGAACGACAACAATTAAGTAGGAGCAAACCATTTTGCCCCAAATCTAATTAGTGATTATTTACCACCAATATGGTGACTGCAATTTGATTGCGAATTTCCTTTGCACTAAGCACAAGCATGTAGACATTTAACTTGAGGGTTTAAGTTTTTTTTTTAAAAGCTACCCTGTCCAAAGTCCATTGTTACTGGACTTTGCTGTAACCTTTGCATTATAAAGTTCTTTCAGTATCATGCATGGTTCTGTGTGTAAGCTGCTATGGTCTATTCCCATCTGTATGGCGGGAAACAAGCTTTAAGGGTAGTAGCACCACCCAAAGGGCTGCATTGAGAAATTTAGTGTATTATTCTTGTTGAATGTAATGTTACTAAACCAGAGTGCCTCAGCGATTGCATTAAGCTAAATTGCAGTTATATTGCAGATGCAATTAATAGCCCAGTCCTACGATTAATGATTGAATCTCTCAGCAAAACAACAAAAACTCTTGAACTCTCGAAATTGTTTTGCGAAAAAGGATTTAAAAGAAATCCAATGTTAAAAGAAAACCTAAAGAATTCCTCATTTCAGCCTTTCGACATTTCTAAATTTCACCAGCATGTAGCTATACATTATCACAGTGAAACATGGTGGTGGTCTCATCACAGTATGGAAACGTTTATCAAGAGGACGATGGTAGGAGCTTATGAAGAAATGGATCGCAGAGGCTGCAAAATAAAGCAGGGTGTAGCTCCCCCTTCCAGCAGGAAGAAGACTACACCCATGACTTACTATAGAATAATTCCAACCAAGAATCTCTATCAAGACTTTAACATTTTCTTTTTGCAGACGCTTTAGTAAATTTGCAAGGCAGACTGAAAAAAGTCAGTGTTTAGGGCCCTAGTGTGCAGTGACCTCAATACGACAAAGAAAGCTACATAACAAAAGATGGATTTTGTGTTTTTTTGTTGTTGTTTGTTTTTGCAAAATAAATTCAGTATCATTCGAAACTCTGCGGTTTAAACAGAGCTAAGGCAGACTCTATGTGGGGCATTCAGGGAACAGACTGCTGCTTTCAATCCTCTCTTATCACCTCAACACTGATGAACGTTTAGTAGTTCCAGCGTCCCTCTGAAGCGGCTGCTTTTGGCACCAGAACTGGGTCGGACATGATAAACTAGAAGTACTGCAAGCCGCTCCAGATAAGAGCAGCAGCCTCTGTGTGGCTGGTGAGAAAGCCGCGAGGAGTTCACACCAAGATTTGTGTTTTTTATTAATATTTTGTTTGTCCAGGGGAAGAGAAAAATAATACAAATGTTCTACTGGGATTTTGCCAGAGTGAGGAGAAAAAACAGCTAATGAAAAAAACAGTTTGTGCCCGTTCATGTATGTGTATCGATAAGCATATAGATTTATGTTTGTCAGCAGAGGGAGAAGCAGAATGTTTGTTTACGCCATCTGTGTTGACGCACCATTGCCTCTGTGACTACATGCTTTCCTGCCTGCATTTGTGAGCTCTTGTATTCACTGAATTTCAATTCCCTTCTTAACAGCTGTCATTGTAGCATATCTGTTCCAATGGCAGCTACAAGATGTCTTTTCGATGGAAAAATGTGTGATGAATGGACTACAGATGTATGAATGTATAGGTTAGCATTTGGAGGCAGTAGAAACAGCTCACAGGTTTTCATTAAAGAGCGGTACAATGCACCACCAAGATAGTTTTTTACATATTTTGCCATGTTAGAACCACAAACTTCACAGTTTATTTTTTCTTCTGGGATTATACATCATACATAAAAACAAAGCATAAAAATTAAGTGGAATGGGGCAAAAAATGAGTCTAGCTGAATTTTCTTTTAAAGGAACATTTGCAAATCTTATGGGGTTATATCTCTATCAGCGCTGTAATTCATTACAAAATAATTCATCCTCAGTAAGATTAAATGCAGATGGTCAATGAGTACGTATTCAAAGCATCCCCACAGCATTATATTGCTAACACCATATTTAAGACAAGACAATCCAGACAATCTTCTTCTACAGTATGTTTGCTGCAAACTGAAAGCAGACTTTTCAATGCTGCAGTATAAGTTGTGCAATAACTGATCTGCAATTACTATTTAATACCTTGTGGAATAATATATATACCTGTATACAATATATACTATATATATATATATATATATATATATATATATATATATATATATATATATATATATATATATATATAACCTGTCCAGGGTGTATCCCGCCTCTCGCCCATTGACTGCTGGAGATAGGCACCAGCACCCCTCGCTACCCCACTTGGGACAAGCGTGTCAGATGATGGATGGATGGATATATATATATATATATATATATATATATATATATATATATATATATAAATATATATATACGGTTCACAAAAACCACGGTTCGGCTTGGTTCACGGTTTCGTGGTCACGATTTTCGGTTTGGTCCGGTATATGTTGATTGTTACCCCGAAATCCCATAAAAATTTATGAAATTAATGGAAAAAAATCCCAAAAAAATTATGAATTGTAATTATTTTTAATGATCCGCGGAAACCCTGGATCATTTCCGCATGTTTTGCCGCTTTGAATTTAATCATCTCGCGCATGCTCTCTACCATCTCCAAGGAACTCAGAGAGGAGCGGACGGGAGACACAGTGGGGGCTGTATGCTTTGCTTTGAGATGCCGGTCTGGAGCGCAGCGGGGCGGAGCCGAGCATGATGGAGTATATGGGATTTTGGGGTTAGCATGACATGTTGGTCAGTTGGTCATGTTGCTGTTAGCATAAACAAAACGTGTTGCACAATGCTTGCACACTGTGGCAATTTTATCCACAACTTTCTTTCCGCCGTCATCGTAGGTCGCTCTAAATGCAAAGTGGTCCCATACAGCAGACCTATAAAGTGCTGCTGGCGCGTCTTCCAACTCCTGTTCTTTCCCACTCGCCATTCCGACACAATTCTCCACAACAACTGATTTGTTTCTGCTACACCCGGCTACGCTGGTTTGCTTCTTCTTCTTCTTGTTTACTACTGGTGGTTGGCTTTGGTCGCAGTACCGCCACCTTCTGCTCTGGAGTGTAATCGCTTCGCCTATGAGAAAAAGGAGCAGCGCATGAACCGAACGAAACACACGCCAACCGAACCGAGACAGTCGAACCGAACGGTTCGGACAGTTTTCATAAACCATTCCATCCCTAATATATATATATAGTAGTAAAAAGAGGGATGATGGAATTTTTTTTTTTTTTTTGGAAGCATACATAGCCTAATTTGTATCGTCTATTAACCTAAAGCGATATGCATGGTATGGTTGTTACATGCTGGTACGCAAAAAAAAAATAAAAATAATGATCAATTAGTCTTGATCATTTCATACAGCAATCATCTTGCTTCTTCATCCTTGAGGTCAGATTTGAAGTGTCCAGATAAAAGTTTGTCTGGTCAACAGGTCCCTTAGTTTTCCTGCAGCTCCTCTACAGTCAGCACAAGCTTGCTCTTTTCTCCTCTGATTGTCTTAACGTTAACATTCTCTTTGCTTTGCCAGTTAGTTGAGGTTGAAGGTCATGTTTTGGTACGTTTGAAATAGTTCAATCTTCTTTTTTTATTATAGATGACATGACATTAAGACTTTTGTAGTATGTAATATTCTTTTGGAACCTAACCCAAGTTTACCCATCTCTAAAGCGTTCTATTTGCCCTACGTGTTATGTTCCTGGGTCTCAGTGAGAGGCTGTTCACTAGCAATATCTAAAACAGAGGCCTACACCTGCATTCACACTGAAAATAAATTACATTAAGGTGGCAATTTTTTCTACTAACGTGTCTTTTGAAAGCATAGAAAGACTTAATTTAGGGTAATTTATCTTATATTTTATAAATATTGACTACTTTGCATTGCTCTTAAGAAAAAGTAAAAAGAATGAGACAACTGAGAACGTTTTAACCTAATGTGCTCACCTGGACTCTTGGAGGCCATTTTCTCCGACTCTTTTGGCGTCCTGAAGAGAACAGGCTGACTGGGGGGGCTGCTGCCTCCCATGCTGATGCTCTGGACATGAACGATGTATTCGGTGTCCTCATCCAGATCCCACAGCGCGCAGGAGCGGGTGGTGGTGTTTACTTCCTGGATGAACCTCAACATCCGCACATCCTTCTTCTGCAACAGGACATATCAGACAAGGATGGGTGGGTAGAACACAACATCTGTTTTTTTCTTTCCTTTTGTTACCAAACTTTTGTCCATGATTAACATTTCTTTAATACAAGATTTAACAATTAGGATGCAGAAATTCAGGTTCCTAAGCCATTAATGCTAATGTGTATACTTCTATCCAGGGTAACAGTTTGGAAAAAGCTTAGTTTTTTTTAAAAAAAGTTTTTTTTTTAGCAATGCAGTTAAGCTTTGAGACATAAATTGCTTTCCAGGCCATAGACAATCTCCTACAAATACACATTATTACTCCGCTACAGCTGCTTGCTTAGGTCAATTGGCTCCTGCTGGATTAAAGAGCACAGCTCCTCTGGGGCACTTTTATTTACCAGGCAATTATAAAAGGAAATTTCTTAAACCATTAAAACTTCACAAAGACTAAATGCTCATCTAACATGGATCTCAGAGTGCTGTGGGTGCAGCTGCAGAAATTAGGCTTCTGAGGACGACATTTTACATCTCCAGTTTGAATAATTCATGTCAATGTTTGTACAAAAACTACATATTAATAATGAGATTAAAAAAACTGAATATTTGCACATTTGCACCACTGGTTCAAGCTACAAAAATATAACGGCTGCCATTTATAACCACCAATACAAATGGTGTTACTTCTACTGTTGAAACAATTCATGTTATTGTTTAAATAGGGATTATTAATAAATATGTAAACATTTCATTCAGTTCAGTCGCACCTGTCATTTCAACGTATCTAATCTTATTCTTTCGGTCATGATCCAGATTTCATAACCATAGGTGAGAGAAGGAATGTATAACGATCGGTAAATTGAAAGCTTTGCCTTTTTGCTCTGCTCTCTATTCACCACAACAGATCGGTGCAGCATCTGCATTCCAGCAGCAGCCGTGCCGATCCATCTATCGATCTCCTGCTCCATTCTCCCCTCACTCATGAACAGGACCGCAAGATATCTAAACTCCTCCGCTTGAAATAGGAACTCTCCTCCAACCTGAGGAGGAAAAGGCCCGTTTTTTTGATTGAGAAACACAGCCTCAGACTTGGAGGAGCTGAATCTCATCCAGGCCGCATCACACTCAGCTGTGAATCCCTCCAGCCTGCTGTACTGTAGGTCTTGGCAGAAGGGAACCAGCATTACCATCGCTGTCAGCAAAAAGCAGGGATAAGATCCTCCGATCCCCAGAGCAGACCGCCTCCATTCCCTGACTGCGACTAGAAATCCTGTCCATAAAGGTTATGAACAGGACCAGCTCTGTCAGAGTCCAACATGCACTGGGAACAGGTCTCACCTAATGGCAGCAATGTGTACTCCTGAAAGGCACCATAAGGGACTTGGTCGAATACCTTCCCCAAGTCCACAAAGCACATGTGGACTAGTTGAGTACTACAGGTGCTGGTCATAAAATTAGAATATCATGAAAAAGTAGATTGATTTCAGTAATTCCATTTAAAAAGTGAAACTTGTATATTATATTCATACATTACATACAAACTCATATATTTCAGATGTTTATTTTGTTTAATTTTGATGATTACAAATGACAACAAATGAAAATCCCAAATTCATCATATCAGAAAATTTGAATATTACTGAAGACCAATAAAAACAAAGGATTTATAGAAATGTTGGCCAACTGAAAAGTATGAACATGAAAAGTATGAGCATGTACAGCACTCAGTATTTAGTTGGGCCTCCTTTGGCCTGTATTACTGCAGCAATGCGGCGTGGCATGGAGTCGATCAGTCTGTGGCACTGCTCAGGTGTTATGATAGCCCAGGTTGCTCTAATAGTGGCTTTTAGCTCTTCTGAATTGTTGGGTCTGGTGTATTGCATCTTCTTCTTCACAATACCCCATAGATTTTCTATGGGGTTAAGGTCAGGAGAGTTTGGTGGCCAATTAAGAACAGGGATACCATGGTCCTTCAACCAGGTACTGGTAGCTTTGGCACTGTGTGCAGGTGCCAAGTCCTGTTGGAAAATGAAATCTGCATCTCCAAAAAGTTGGTCAGCTGCAGGAAGCATGAAGTGCTCTAAAACTTCCTGGTATGTGGCTGCGTTGACCCTGGACCTCAGAAAACACAATGGACCAACACCAGCAGATGACATGGCACCCCAAACCATCACTGACTGTGGAAACTTTACACTGGACTTCAAGCAACGTGGATGAAGTGCCTCTCTTCTTTTCCTCCAGACTCTGGGACCTTGATTTCCAAAGGAAATGCAAAATTTACTTTCATCAGAGAACATGACTTTGGACCACTCACCAGCAGTCCAGTCCTGTTTCTCTTTAGCCCAGGCAAGACGCTTCTGACGCTGTCTGTGGTTCAAGAGTGGCTTGACACAAGGAATGCGACAGCAGAAACCCATGTCTTTCATACCTCTGTGTGTGGTGGTTCTTGAAGCACTCACTCCAGCTGCAGTCCACTCTTTGTGAATCTCCCCCACATTTTTGAATGGGTTTTGTTTCACAATCCTCTCCAGGGTGCGGTTATCTCTCTTGCTTGTACACTTTTTTCGACCACATCTTTTCCTTCCCTTCGCCTCTCTATTAATGTGCTTGGACACTGAGCTCTGTGAACAGCCAGCCTCTTTAGCGATGACCTTTTGTGTCTTGCCCTCCTTGTGCAAGGTGTCGATGGTCGTCTTTTGGACAACTGTCAAGTCAGCAGTCTTCCCCATGATTGTGTAGCCTATAGAACTAGACTGAAAGACCATTTAAAGGCTTTTGCAGGTGGTTTGAGTTAATTAGCTGATTAGAGTGTGGCACCAGGGGCCATCAATTTTGAACCTTTTCACAATATTCTAATTTTCTGATATGATGAATTTGAGATTTTCATTTGTTGTCATTTGTAATCATCAAAATTAAACAAAATAAACATCTGAAATATATGAGTTTGTATGTAATGTATGAATATAATATACAAGTTTCACTTTTTAAATGGAATTACTGAAATCAATCTACTTTTTCATGATATTCTAATTTTATGACCAGCACCTGTACTACCATGAACCCTGGAGCACCATGCAAAGAAGGTCCACTGTTCCACGGCCAGGACAAAATCACATTCCTACTCCTGAAGCTGATGTTCGACCATCAGCCAGACTCTCCTCTCCAGCACCCTGGCATAGGTCTATATAGGCTTATGAGAGGGATACAAAAATGCTAAAGTATTACTGAATACAATCATGCAAACGTCAAATTCCGAGTAGATTTCAAAATGGAATCATGTAGGTCCATAAATGAAAGTATTTTTCTTTTAATGTAAGTATTTTGTAACTGATGGTGATTTACCTCATATTCTTTCTCTAAGTTAATAAGGTCTCAGTTATGTTGTCCAAATCTATCTGGCATAAATTAAGGCTGGGCTTACATTGAACTGTGCAGCTAGGGTTGACCAGAAAAACTTGCTATCAGCGCACAAAGTAGCCCTTTTTATCACCTGGTAGCCACCCAGTTTCTGTTTTTCACTTTTTTATGTTAATGTGGGTTGGTGGTTTAATCTTATTCTGAATTCCCCGGGACTCTTTCTCTGTCTGGCGTCCATCTTTCCTGTTTCGTGGGTGAAATTCAGGGCCTTGATGCAGACTGCTGCGGTGTCCAGCCAAACTTCCTTCATTGATCCGCACAGCCTCGGTACCCCCACCTATACAGCACCATGGATGATCTGAAGGTACACCTTGATTTGAATGATTTGGGTTCCTTAGCCTGGCATTAAACAACCCGTTTCTACACACTGCCAGACAGCTGGCCTAAAGAAAAGGCTCTGAAATTTTCACTGTTAAAGGAATTAAATTACACCCGACTTAAAATGTTTTTAAAAAATGAATTTTAAAATCACTTGCAACATTGCACATAGAATTTATTTTTGTTTGCACAACCATTTAAGCTCTTTTAATTTAGGTCTTGGTAGAACAGGTTCTTTGTGTTGATTTGGTTTTACAGATGATGATAAGACAAAAATTCAAAGAAGACATGATAAAGTTGCTTTTTAGGGATGTTGTTTTTTTGTTTTTTTTCCCAAATGGCTTTACATTTCCATCTAACATAAAAAGATTTCATGAACTTCTTTTTGTTTAGAAATTTGGGACTCATACCATGCATGCCCCCGCACGCGTTAAATAAGCGTTCCCTCTCGGGATGAAATTATTTTTGCACCTTTAGGCTGTTTTTTTCCGTGTTGCTCTTCTCTACTTTGCTCCACCCTCTGCTCATTAACTCTCATCTCATCCACCTGCACCTGCTGCTATTTAAGACTCTGGACCCAAGCCTTTAGCGCCAGATTATTCAAGCTTTCTAGCAAGACTAACTCTAGCATTCCCTATGTTTGGTTCTGCTGGTCCCTGTGTTTGTTCTGGACTGTTACCTAGATTCTGCCTGGTGGGCCGCCTCTGGACCAGTCTTCTGACCACAGCTTGGATTACTCTCCTGGATCTATCAGTTCCCATGTGTGCTTTGGCTGCTGACGGTTGCTGCTTCTCTTCTCTCCTGGATCCCTGGTGCCATCTCAGCAAAGAGCAAAGGATTTCCACGGCTCTAGACAACCCTCCTTCTTCGGGCACAGACTGAACTTTGCCAGGTTGGTGGCTTTCATGCTCATTATTATGCATGCAAGTCACTGACCTGAGCCTCAACTCCTACAGAGTTTGCAATGAGCCCGCCGCTGCAGACGAGCAGCCGCACACTTTATTATTAAACTCTTTTTTTTTAATATACCACTGTCTGTTTCGCCTGAATTCTGGGTTCTATGTTCTGAGCCTTCTGACACAGGAGGGATTTAATCAGATTTAACCTCTTTTAATATTTATTCTTAACCCACACCTAAAGTAAAGAGAAAAAGACACTCATAGGTACCTGTTGGGTGATTGCAAATCCAATGACGGGATCTCCCTCCAAAATCTCCCACGTCACCACAGCCGAGTTGACCTCCAGCTCTCTGATGGTCACATTGAGTGGAGCTGACAGCAGAGCGTCTAACACAGGCACAGAAGGACGTATGGTTAATAAAGACAGAACATAAAAGCTAGAGTCCCACAGTGGCAGTAGATGTAATAAATCCTACTATGGAGAGAGAACATCCTACTCATTATCTTTCTCTTTATACTCTGTTTTTTTTTTTTTCTCAGCCCACTTTTACTAACTTCTTCCCCTCACCACCCTCAGATTAATCTTTCTCCTTTCATTAATACCCCGCCTGATTAAAACACTTGAGTCTTTCTGGGTTTCCCACGGGAAGATGCTTCTTCCCAAAGACCTTGTTTCTGATTCTCATAAATTTTGCAGTCTTTACCTTCTCTCCTCTCACTGGCAGAGAAACTCACTCTGGGGGTGATATCCCTGCTGCTGTCATATCATTTTAACATTTGTAGTAAAAAAAAAAATAATAATGTGATGCACTGTTAATCTGCAGATTAATGATGGATCGGGTTGAGGCTTTAATTGTTTCATTTCCTAAATGGAAAAAGAAGTCAAGCGGGATGAGTGTGTGTTTTATAGACAGCTAGTGTGTGTCAATTACAATAAACTCAAGGTCCTTTATGATCCGACTTAGCGCTAGATTTCCCTTGAGTCCAGAGTTGAAAAGAGTAGCATCAGGTTAGACCTTGGTTTGAGTTGGAGTACAGTTCAGCCATCCTCTAAAAATTCACTCATAATAGTTTAAATCTCCCTCTATACATTATAAAACTATATGAAGAAAACAAGCATGACTCTTTAGTTCTACCTTTGAAATCTTTGCTTTATCAGACTTGAGGAAATGAGAAAAAAAAAACCTAACAGCTAATGATATTTTAATTGTTGGTTATGTGAGTAAGTATACTAATAAATAATTTTAATTTTTTTAAATCAAATTACTTAAAGGTGCAGTAGGAGATCTTTTCTGAAACATTTTTTACCATGTGGCTTAAAGATCTCCCCACAGCCGCTTAGCAAGCAGTGAAATAAAAGGTCTGGAAGTGAAACTAAAATAAATGCTCCCCGCTACAGTGAGAAATCAATTAATAACCCCAACCAATCACAAAACACAGTATGTTGTACAAGATTGGTTGCTGACATGTCAATCGCGGTCATCTTCTTGCCCCTCTCACCTGTGCGTCTACCTTGACACATGAACGAACCAACCCCCCAATCCTAGTGAAGGACGCCATGGCTGCAAGCTAGCCACTATTATTCTACGTTCACACCTAAAGCAGAAGGAGCAGAAAAAACGAGCGGGCTGCTTCGTATTTGATGCTTGTGCAAGTTTAGTTCTGATGCACGGCTGAAGCATCTTTGCTAGGGTGGCCAGATTCGGGTTTCTGAAAAGGAAGACACTTGGGGGAGAGTGTCGACTGCTGGGCCGCTGACTGGACCGGACCTCAGCAGAGAGCCATGAGCGGCCCGTCCTCAGCCAGAGGAGGGGGGGTGGGGATGGGTAATGGAGGCCGCGGAAAGCACGGAGACACAGGTGTCAAGGCTACCATCACCGGGTCAGGTTTGGTCACTCCGTCCCCTGCTGGCACCCTGTTTCGACAAGTGCTGCACTGTAGTCGACCAAAATACTGGACAACTTTGAAACTCCACCGGGACTTTTTTTAGGTCTTAAAAGTAGGACATGTCCGGGAAAAAACGGACGTCTGGTCACCCTAGCTTTGCTGCCCTGGCTGCGCTGTGGAAAAGTAGGCCTGATGTGCGTTGGGCGGAGCTACCCTATCCTTTCTTTGCCTGTAACAATGGCAGCTATATTTGCTGTGATCAGTGGGTAAAAAGTAGTTTGAATCTATTTTGAAGAACGAAAGTCCATCTGAAAACATCGTCAGTGCAGTCAGTTTATCCAGATTACCATCCTGCCTTCAAATATTATTCCTGTGGGAGTCGCTCAGACCTCTGTACACCGTGCTGTCGCTGGGAATCCCATTCAACAGCAGCCTATGGCCCGGTCACCTCCTTGGGGTTTGCCGTGGCGGCTGGAAGGCGTTTTTCATGTACGTAATCCAAACTGCAGGCACCAAGATAATAAAAGCGAACATGTTTTGTCGGCAGATTTCGGCATTTTAAGTTAATTAAGGTGTTAATAAATTGTTTCAGAAGAGTGATCATAGCGCTCTGCATCATCAGTGCTGCCTGTCTCCCTTCCAGCTCCGAGATCAGCAGCGGCTCCTGCTGCTCTAGACCTGATGAAGAAAGCATGCACGTTCATGTATCTTAAAGGCGTGGTTTCGAGGGATGGTCTAAAGCAGGGGTCACCAAGCTGCCCTCAAGGACCACATGGGGGGCCCTCAGAGTCTTCTAAATAAAGAACAACCCACCAGTGGGCTTAGTTTGAAATTTTATTTTATTCTGTTGCTCTTGCTTCAATCATTTATAGAGATTTCAAAATGACAATGTCTAAATAAACTTAGAAATTAACAGAAACAATAAAAATATGTTGATAATGAGCAAAGTTTAGGCTAACGCTAACCCTTGCAGCTCATGGGTCAGTAATGGTCGCCCTTCCTACGTCTCGGTACCCTTGTAGTGGCCCTCAGCCTTAAAAAGGTTGGTGACCCCTGGTCTAAAGGGAGAGGCATGGTTGTGTATGTTCAAAAATATAATTGGTGGAACCGTTTTTCCAAGATCTCCTACAGCACCTTTAAGTAAGAGTATCGCTTAAATGGCAATTATTGCCCTGAGTCAACTGGTTTTAATCTCAGTTTTGCCAATGAGGCACATTCATTTTCACTTGTCTATTAAAACTGATATTGATCACCATGGCAAAAAAACAACCATTCTAATCACTGCTCATCATCTTTAGTGACATACTCTATTTATATTCAGAACTTTTCATTTTTTGAAGGTAAGTGAACTTTCATTTAGTCTTGACTGGTATAATTATTTATTTAGTGAAGCACATAGAGCCGAGAGATAAAAATTCCACAGTACTTTTAAATATGTTTTTAAAGACAGAAAACTCCCACCACACCAGCAGTACTCCACAATTTCCCCTTGTTGGCAAAATAATCACCATTGTTGCATTGATATAGAAGGTTTGGAAAGAACTCAGGAGTTCAGGAGAAAAACAAAGATCATTGCATCCAGACACCCGGCTGGTACAGGGGTAAGAATGACTCACAGAAATTGTTGGAGCCGTTAGGACCTAAACAACCCTAAAATATTTGACTAAACAATAACATCATATAACCAAACATTGGAGTGACTTGCAAATAATATTCATTCTCTCACATTTTATGTGATACAAAGTACAAAGCTCCTTTATAGAACAGAATACTCACACACATCTTCACACCAAATGTAAAAGATCTCTCCAGACCGAGATAAAGCCTCACTGATCTCATTTTCAGAAATTAGGACTTATCTGTCATCTGCAAGCTTATCATCAGGACACAGAGGCAAGATCTTTTGACAGAAAACGAATTTCCCTCTTGAATAAAACACGTTGCAGCGTTCATGATGTGCAAGGTCTTAAAATAATCTTACAGGGGAAAGTGATGGATGTTGAAGTTGGGGTTGTCAGAAAATATCCAATAAGGATGAGGTTAGATTTTTTGACAGACAAGGTTTAACAAAAATAACTCTTTATTTATTTAACTGGCAATTTGAACCCTAGTTATAATAAGTGGGACATACTGCAACCATTTTAACAAATTAAACAGCAAGACGGTGAGCATTTTGCTACTATAACACTAAATGATGACTTTAGCCTATTGAATGTGTCAAAGTCATCCTAATGTAGCATGATTACCTTATTTCAGCCATCCTGTTTGGTTTCACAAAGCTTTTTGTGATGACAGATGAGAGCTCACACATGCAGATCACATCCATGTGTCATATCATTCCCCCCAAAAGGGATGCAGCTACAAACAAGTCAACACTGCTCCACATAGCTGCCCTCTGCATGTGTTTGCTCAGCCTGTGCACCCTTTCCTTTAGTTGTTGTTGTTTACCTGCGATGATCGCTCATCAACCTGTGGTCCAACTCACCGGCTTTAACGGAGGACGCCGAGAGGAAGAAGCCCAGCAGGAGCAGCAGCAGCACCGCCGCAGACAAGCCCCGCGTCGCCATCCTCCTGCTTCTTCTTTCGGGGCTTCACATCCTGCGCGGCCCATTTATCTCATCACATTAAAAACATCCCGCGAGGGGTACCTGAAGGCAGACTTGTTGTGCCGGAGAGGATCGGCTCTCTCTGGAACTTGTGAGCTGCAGCGGAGGCGCAACAACAGGAAGGAGGAGGAGGAGGAAGGATGGTGAGATGAAGGTGAGGAGAGAGAGGTGGATGCAGCAGGGAGATGGTACCGATGTGGCTACAGGGATGGCCTGCTCAGACTGCCAGACCGGCTTCTGGTGACCGAGAGGCGGTGAAGGGAGCGCTGCGTAACAGGAAAGGAGCGCGCGCCTGCTGCAGGATGCAACGCGCCACACACACGAAAACGCCTGCAGCTGCAGCAGCAGTGCACATCTATTCATTTGCAAAGTATGACAAAAGAAATACAAAGCATCAAATACATCACATCCCAGAGCTTATCTTATGCAATTAAGCCATTTCGTAAATATATTCCTAAGTATAGCAGCAGCTGAAACGTAAACGACACTATAGTATAAAATATACTTTATATTTTCAATGGATTAAAAATGCACGCAACATTTTATTTGTAGTAGCATGCAATGTGAACATAAACCAAACAAAGGATTTAGATCCATGAAGGAATGGGATCCCTCCCCCAATGCTTCTGTTCTCCTGGTAGGTTATTTTCTTTGTTCTCAAAAAAAAATATATATATATGAGTCACTGTTTTAAAAGGATGGTGAAGACCAGAAGATCACAAGCTTTAAGCAGAGGTATGATCAGGCAGAAGGATGTGTGGACAGAGTTAAGTGAATAAATTTTTCATTAGACTCGGTTCTGAACCAAGCTGAGCATCCTGCTGTTGTAACTACATCCAAACAGACATCCTACCCTTCTTTGAACCAAAGCTTCCCCCTCACACCTCAAATGCTGTATTTTCCACCTTTGCTGTGGAGCCTTTAGCTTGTGTGTCTCTTTACATTCAAATCAGTTGCACTCCCCTCCTCCCACATGTCTGACTATAGAAGTTGCTTGAAAAGACATCTTAAGAGTCTCAATTGGAATAAACCTCTCTGTATCCTGATGGTGTCAGTAAACTGATGGTGTCAGCCCCAGGGCCGTTAAGACTCGGTCAGAGCAGCACCTCTTCAACCTTAAGCCGGGCATACACTGTACGATTTTTTCAATCATTGCACGCAGCTATAAGTCACACTGTACGAGGAAACCCTGTGGTTTTCCTCATACAGTGTGAGTTCACAGCTCACTATGGATGTTCTCACACAGTGCGGCCTGACGCTCTAACTGTACGTCTAAAAACTACATCAGACTCGGCTCCGCAATGAGATGGCGCTGCTCTAACTCATCTATCCGGAAGCCAAACCAGTAGAAGAGAAATATGAAGCTCACTAGAGTGAAACGCTGCCTTGGCAATTTGTGCAATTTTGTGCTGAAAGCCCTAAAAGGACAAAGACGTGGCTGAGCAAACGTGGTTACTACAGTCTGTCAATTTTACAGTAAGAACTCCATCACACCTCCGCCATGCTTCTGTGTTTTTGTCTTAGAGGAAGAAGAAGAAGAATCCATGTTTGCGCACTGAGCCGACATCATCAAACATGTTTGATTTTCTCCCGACCTCACGATTCCTGATCGGGAGGTGGTCGTGAGAGGTTGATCGCCCGAAGTTACCCTCGACGCACGACTCATGATCAGGCTGAAATTTGGCCCGATTGAAAAATTCTTGCACCACTTGAAAATCGTCTGGAAAAGGGCAAAACATCATACAATGTATGCCCAGCATTACCCTGACCCATGAGATGGCTCCAGTGATGAGGGAGACCTTCTGTTTTGTTTCACCAAAGTCTACAGTTCTCATGACTATGAACCTGTTGCCCTGACATCTCACACCATGATTGTCCCAGATAGACTCCTGCAATCTGAGTAAGATAAGTAGCAGCTGCTGTGACCCCTGACCCCAAATCAGTAGTTTTGGGGTAGGGGTCATGTTTAAGACTAAGGTGTGAATTGAGTTTAGGTCGGGGTTAGGGTTTGTTATAAACCTGTAAGGGTTAGTTTTAGGATAAGTGTCATATTCGGGCTATAGAAATTAGCTGAATCAATGGAAAGGCTCCACATAGATAGTGAGACAAGTTTGTGTATTGATGAGAGCGTGACCTCTTCTGTCATCATCTGCGGATGTAACAGAATCAGAGGGAAATTCATCCATCCATTTTCCGTCATGCTTATCCCAAGAGGGGTCACGAGGGGTGCTGGTGCCTACCTCCAGCGGCGTACGGGCGAGAGGTGGGGTACACTCTGGACAGGTCCCCAGTCCATCACAGGGCATCTCAGAGACAAACAGGACAAACAACCATTCATTCACACAATCACACCTAAGGAGAATATAGAGGAGCCAATTAATGTCGTGTTTTTGGACTGTGGGAGCAAGCTGGAGTACCCAGAGAGAACCCACGCATGCTCAGGGAGAAGATGCAAACTCCATGCTAAAAGACCCCGAGCCAGGAATAGAACCCGGAATGGAACCCACTGCTCCACTGAGCAGAATCAGAGGAGTTGATAAAGAGAGTTGGCTCAGTTCTAGGAACTCCTCTACGACATCAGGGACGGATTTTACATAGAAGAATTCTTCATAGAATGAATAAACCTTTTGCTCAGAGGCTGCTGGAAATCGACCACCTGCAACCCTGATGGATAAGTGGAAGGACGGACAGATGGATGGATGGATGGATGGAGAGCCCTGAGCATCCTGTTCAACAAACTGTTGTACAACAGAGTGTCTTCAGTCAGTTGATTCTCATGGCCCGTTGTATGATAGACTGCTACAGAAGATCCTTCCTACCTACATCTACTGTATTAGCAACTACCAGACGTTGTTAAAGAACCCTCGAAAATATGAATTACCGCAAAGTTTATTTTCCTGATAAAATTGTTTTGAATTGAATTTAGAGAGAACTTGAGAGAAAAAGGAAGAAACAAGAGATAGTTTGCTTGCAGTTTGCAGAGGGTTTAAAATTTAAAAAACATATTTTTTAAGCTTTTTTTTTAATCTGGGATATCTTGTTAAAATTATCTTTTGTAAAACAGAGAAGCAGTTATATCGTCTCTTCTTCTTCCCTAAAAACTGAGATCATATCCAGCATTTTTACTGGCTCTGTTTTTTCCAAGACTCATTACTGAAGGATTCCCATTAAGATTTAGGGTCTATCTTAAAACCAGGGGCTATTAAAAACTCAACAAATGATCCTTTCAATGGAGCTGCAGTTAATATCTTCCAACTTGTGCTCAACCATCAAACTAAATGTAGTGAAAGCAAAAGTTAATCTGTCATGGCAGTCGGTGTATAGTTATGCTTCAGACGAATATCTGGAAGAATAACACAATCACATCTTCAATGAAGAGAGCACCTTTTTTTTCACCATGTGGAAAAAGCCAAATTTCCTGATTCATAGCATGAAACAAAAAAAAAAAAAACACACACACATACTTAACGTTTGAGAATATGAGGTTATTATCTAACATTTCCTTCTTTAGTCAGGGTTTATTTGTATTCTGTATGGTTACAGAAACTATCATAAACCATAAAATAAATAATCAGAATAGATTTCCACTTAAATTCCATTTGCTCGACTATCTTACAATCCCGTCAGATGTGGCATTAAACTGGAACTGATGGAAAAAACTTAAAGTATGACACAATTTTGCTAACATACATACAAAGTCAAAGATCACGAGTTTCACTATCAGTAGTTCAACATGAAAGAAACCATCCAGCCAACATCTTTTATGGAAATACTAACCACAGGCATCTGAAAGTCATTAACAGGAAGGAGGGCTGTTAAAGGAGAAGTTCGGTTTTTTACACTTTAAGCCCATTTTCTGTAGTGTCCAGGATGAAATCGAATGATCGACACCAAAAGTTTGACAATTGCTCCTGTCTCTGCTTTTTGGCTCATGCAGAATCCCCCCTGGCTGCTTTAGAATGGCTAGCATAGAGCATGTCCGATAATGTCCTTAAAACAACCTTAAACGTTCTTTTTTTTAAATATGCTACTCACCGGGTCGTCAGCGCTGTTCAATGACGTTCCAAAAAAAGTTTCGTAAAGAAAAAACGTTCCTGTAGTGTTTTATTTAGCATTTTGTAAATCCCATTGAGTTCTGTAGGAATAGTCAATATTCCGCTGCCACCGGAAACGGAAATGGGGCCTGTTTACACAGTTGTAGTCTTTTCGCTTCACTCTGTGTACTCCGACGTCGAGGTGCTAACGTCTCTGTTAAACACTTTAAAAAACTCTGAAAATGGAATACGAAAGGTGGATTCTTGATTCTCGACGTCTCAGACTGAGACAGACTTTTATTTCTTTATTTTTGCATATTTTCAGTAGTGTTTAGTGTTTTGCTTAGTTATTAGATATAATAGTGTGATTGTAGCATTGTATATTAACTCACAGTCTTTTGTGTTTATTCTACACAGTGAACAATTTATCCCCAGGCTGGATTCACTCCTTCAATAGCATCCGAATGAACAGGGACACATTTATTTGGTTGGTGATTAATAACGTTGCTGATTGCCATAGTCTAAATCAGCGGTCCCCAACCACCGGGCCGCGGACCGGTACCGGTCCATCGGTCATTTGGTACCGGGCCACAGATAAAAAAGTATATATATATTTAATTTATCGATCAGAGTCTGAGTGATGTTTTATTTTTTTTAAATATAAAAAAATGCGGTATTCTCTCCCAATTACATCAGTCGGTGCATCTGTGCCTCTTGACACAGGTTAATTCAGTTCAATACTCATCCTATTTATACATCCTATCTTTGTGAAGCGGGATTATCTGCAGTTACAGCGACCAAAACAAAGCTACGGAGCAGACTAGACATCAGGAGCACACTTTGTATGTCATTGTCTCCCATTACGCCTAGATGGGACCGGCTTGTTTCAGAGAAACAAGCTCAGGGCTCCCACTAAGTCAACATAACGGTGAGTTTTATTTTTATGCTGTTTATATTTGATTTTATGCTAGCCCCCCCCCCCCTGCCGGCCGGTCCGTGAAAATATTGTCCGACATATAGCGGTCCGTGTTGCAAGAAAGGTTGGGGACCGCTGGTCTAAATGACTAAATTGGTAAAAGACAACTGGATTTTTAACAGCTGGATTCAAGAGTCCAACCTTCTAGGTAAAAGGCTAAAATCCCTGGTCAGTAAGCATATCACAGTTATAATCAATCCATTGATAATAATTAATTAGTTTTACCCTTGATTTGAATGACCTATTAATTAACTATAACTTCCAGTTCTAGTTATTTAATA